TAAACTAGGAAAAATACCTATGCCAAAAATAAAAAAAGGATAGCAATAAAAATTTACAGAGAACAGGGATTTTGTGCCAATCCTTGAAAAATAAAGGAGTTGGACACTTACTATTTTTTCCTAAAAAATCATGTATCCCTATAGCATATTCTATTTCTTTTAAAATATTTTATTTACCTTTAGAGGGGAAGGGAAGGAGAGAGGGAGAGAAACATCAATGTATGGTTGCCTCCTGTGTGTCCCCTGCTGGGTGGGAACTAGCCTGCAACCCAGGCATGTGCCCTGACTGGGAATTGAACCATGGTTGCTTGGTTCCTAGGCCTGCGCTCAATCCACTGAGCTATGCCAGCCAGGGCCTATTTCTTTTAATAGTACTTACTCTGGTTTGTCTCTTTCCCCAACAAACTCTAAGGTCTTTGAAAAAGAACTAGGACTTAGTAAATATTTGATGAATGAATGTATATTAGCATTTAAAAATATATTCACCTGACTGATAAATGCAGATGCTCACTTTAGCTAGTGTCTTTAAAAAATTTTTGACATAAATAAGTGTACTTTATAAAAAATGTAGTATGAAAATATACTAAGGCTTCAACTTTTAAAAAAGTATAAAAAGAACAAATAAAGAAAAATGTACATACATGGATGAAATTTATAAAAATTAAAATTAGTAATTTTGAAAAAAAGCAATAAAACTAAAGTTGATTATTAAAAAGCTAAATAAAATAGACTAGTGGTGGGAAAGCCCAACAAAGAAAAAAGATAAGTAACATTAAAATGAAAAAGGAAATTTAAAAATACAAAGAAGAGATAATGAGAATAATTATAGCTTTATAGCAATAATTTTTAAATATAGATAATTTATATGTTAAAAAGTTTCTAGTTATTTCCAAAATCAACTCAAGAACAGAAAAATATTATGAAATCAATAATCCTATTATAAATACTCACATTTTCTAAAGCTCTACTACTAAATAAGCTATAATGCTTAATTTTATAAGCCAGTTGTGTAGAACCTATAAAAATCAGATGATTCCTATGTGATTCTCATTATTTTATAGCACAGAGAAAAAAGATGGAAAACTTCCAATTTATTTTTCAAAAGTAATATATAACCCAAATTCCAAGCAAGAATAAAAAAAAATTATATTTAATTCTTATGAACATAGAAATAAAATCCTGAATAAAATGTTTAAAGCATAGAAGGTTTGTTATTACTACCTGTATGGTGGCAAATTATTGCACCTCTCTCTTAGTTTTTTCATCTGTAAAGTGGAGACCATAAGTACCTAAAGCACGGAGTTATTATGAAAATTAAATAGTAAGTATAAAGTTCTTAGAACAGTGCTTGGCACATGGCAAATGCTCAGTAAGCTGTTATTATCCCAATAACTAAAGCAACATAACCCACTGCATTATCATTTTAAAGAGGAAAATAAGATATTAAATGTAAACATTAAATAATTTTTAGCATTTTGGCAAATCTTTAAATAAAACACGTATATAAAGAGCACTCTCCTAAACATTCAATAATTATCACACACTAATAGCACAAATTATATTGTGTTAAAATATTAGTCATCTCCATTCAATTAAATATGAAGACAAAGGTATTCAGTATCACCATAATTATTCCATATTTTGAAGATTACAACTAATGAAATAAAGTAAAACAAATATTGAAAAAGATGAATTATTTGTAGATTACGTATAGCTAAAAATCTAAGAGAGTAAGCAAAACTGAATTAAAACTAATCGGATTTTATTTAGTAAGCTGAAAAAAAGATGTACCAAAACTCAGTATCTTTTCTTATAGTAACTGATAAATTAAAATTTTATTGGAGAAAAAAAAAGTCCCCAAATTATATAATACTCAAGAATAAACTTAATAAGAATAGCATAAGATTATATAATAAATTATATAAATTTCAGTGAGCATAAAATACAACCTGAATACTTTCTTTTTAAAAATTGTATTAGAGAATTATTTTTTTAAGATTTTATTTATTTTTAGACAGAGGGGAAGGGAGAAAAAGGGAAAGAAACAGCAATATGTGGTTGTCTCTCATGTACCCCCTACTGGGGACCTGGCCCACAACCCAGTCATGTGCCCTGACTGGGAATTGAACCGGAGACCTCTTTGTTCACAGGTCGACGCTCAATCCACTGAGCCATACCAACCAGGGCTGAATACTTTCTATGAACTATTCAGCAGTATCTGTATCTTAACCATCCAAACTCAAAACTTAGAATCCCTTCTAGTTTCACCCCTTGCCTTGCTCTGTACACCTAAACTCAGCCATTATATCTTTTATATTTTACCCCATAAATAGTTCTCAAATTTGTTACCCCTTTACCCTCTCTACTTCATTTATCCTGGTTATTATCCTTTGGAAAGACTCCAGAGAATTAAATACTCTTGCTACTTGTAGGCTTACACTCCTCAAAATCATAACCCATCCAGCTGCCAGATAATCAATCTAAAATACTAACCTAACTAGATCCGGCCTCACCTTAACACAAGAGGTCACCATTGAATTCTGGATAGAGTCCAGGTAATAAGGTCTTCAGTCGTGTGCACCCAGCTTCATTTCCTTCTTTTCCCCCTTTGGGGGGTTTAAAATATGGCTGTATGTTTCCCATACTAGGTAAGATATGCAATTATCACAGACTAAAGATGTTAGGGCTTCTCACAGCTGTCATCATGGTTCACCCTACTACACTTACCACATCAATTTTTGGTTATTTTATGTTAAAGTGAATACTTTATGGCCCTTCCCAGGTGGCTCAGTTGGTTGGAGCATCGTCCGGTGCACCAAAAAGACTGAGAATTCCTCCCAGTCGGGCTGTGAATTTCATTCCTGGTTGAGGTGCCCACAGAGGCAACCGATGTTTCTCTCACTCCCTTCTTATCTAAAATCAGTAAACATATTTTCCCTCAGGTAAGGATTTATAAAAAATCAATACTTTATGGAAGTGATGCAAAATTTGTGTGACTGCTTAAATTAAAATGCATGATTTCAAAGAAAGATGGCACAGCAAGCAGCTTTCACCCTTTCCTTGGGCTCAAAATGGGGATGGGGGTGATGATGACGCACTTAATCATTAAGTGAAAAGTCTAACGCTACCAAACTGTTACCACTGCATTTGCCAAGGACATAAGATGTAATTAACACTTGCTGAGAACATATTTATGCTAGGCAACAGTCTGCAGGACCTTTCATGACCTCATCTCTACTGATCTATGTACTCCAGGTAGAGTGGTTTCCTTGCTATTCCTGACAAAGGGTGTCGGGCTCCCACTTCCTGTGCCCTTGCTATTCTATCTACCAATCTTTTCCCCCAGAGTATGGCTCCTTGAAGTGTTTCCTCAAATGTTGCTTTCTGCATCCTGACCTCCCCTTTCCCTTCTTCTCAGTAACCTTCACATTAGAGAAATGGTTATTCTCTACTATTTTTATTTCAGTAATTATTCTCTATTATTTTTTTCCACTTCACTTTCCTTATTATTTATTGTTTTCATTTCCTGTACCAAAATGTAATGGTAGAATTTTGTTTTATTTACTGTAAAATTTTTTACTTTATTCACTGAATCTAGTGCCTAGACCAGTAAGTACCCAGAACACTTTAGGCTTAATTATTTATTGAATGAACAATCTTATGAAACATCTACAACTGTTAGCAAGATTTTACCTTGTGAAGAGACTGAAGCCCTGAGAACCTGACTATGGTCATACAATAAAAGGCAGAGCTATGATTTGTAAGCAGACAGCCTGACTACACTCTTTACCATAACCGCATTGTGCCTGATTTATGTAAATTATGTAGGTACTATTAAGGATGTTTTCCTTATTAGACAGCTTCTTCGCAGGGGATACTTCATTCTGTCCCTGACTTGCAACGTCTAGCCCGTGTTGCACCTCAATAATTATTTGCATCATGAATAAATGCATACAGTAATTACCCAACATGTATTTCTCAATTGGCTAATTATCTAACCTTTCATATTTATTTTGATTTTAATGTAAAAAATTCTGTCTTAAAATGAAGTGATGTAAAAAATACTCTTTGAATTGACAAAAAATATTTCTGACAAATGGTTTAATTAAAATAATAGGTACCCCATTCTTACAGTTTTCTTCAACCTGGTTTTTAAAGCTTTATTCAACAGTAGTATACATTAAACGAAAACCTGCAGAAAGTCATTCGACTCATTTCATAACACACACACGCATTATATTATCTCTGATCAAAAGCTGCAAACGACTGTCATTTCCAAACACCGAGATTTGTAACACAATCATGCCAGATAAAACAAGACATCTTCACTTACAAAAACTGACGCTAATGAGAACACCCCCAGAGGAATAACTGGCCAAGGAGTCACTCGCGGGTAGGTTTCTCAAATAAGTTTGACAACGACGATCGTAAAGGCACGACAAAACTTGACACAAAATCCCATGGCTATAGATTTACTGTGAGAAACAAACATTCCGGATAGAAGGGGTGGACATATGACAGATCTTAAAAAGACACACCTCCAAGCCGCCTCAAAAATCTAGAGCCCGAGTTTCTCAAGAGATCCTCACCGTATCTAGGCTAGGGGGAAGCAACCATTTCTCGGGTAGAGGATGATGCACAAATAAAAACTGGCCATCCAGCGTGAAGGCCGAAGAATCAAACGAAAATACAGCGCACGGATGAAAAACGACCCCTGGTGCCTAACCGCCCCTTCACACACTGAGCGGCAATCGCATTTCTCGCGGGATTTCTCATCTTCACAGGATTTCGAAGCCGAAACCTCGTGGCCTTTCAGGTGAGGGGTCTAAAAGGACAGCTCCTAATCCACTTCATGGCATCTTTGAGCTCTTCCACCTAGCTGCCTCCTCCCATTCTTTATTCTCCTACAGCCTCCAGGCTTTAAGAACAGTCGTATGACTTCCGGAGCTAGACCGGAACCGGAAGCTTCTGGCAGCGAAGGGGTGGGGCCGAAAGTCAAAAAAAGCGCGGCGAAAGCCGGAGACCGGACTTGGCCGGGTCTTGGTGGCCGTCAGGCTATCCTGTGGCGGTTTCCGATGGACTCCACCGCCTGCCTGAAGTCTTTGCTCCTGACCATCAGTCAGTATAAAGCCGTTAAGTCGGAGGCGAACACTACCCAGCTCTTGCGGCACTTGGAGGTGAGGGGCTACCCCGGGGAAGGCGAGATGGACCTGCCTGTAGTAATATTTAGTGCAGGATGCAGCCGGGGTGTAGTGGCTCCAGTTTAGGAAAGAAAGGTCAGCTCTCCCTTTCCTCAGCTGTCTTTTTGTATTAGAAGGTAAAGAAGTCAGGTGAGTGTCAGCCTTGAATTCCCACCCTCTCCTTTTCCGTCCCTAGGCCCTCCGCGTTCAGGAGGGACGAGCGACTGAAAATCCTAAGCAGAGGAAGGTTGGGACAAAATTGGGAAATTTAGGCTGTGTTTGTGGCGGTAGAGGAGAAAGTTCAAGCCTGTATCTTTTCTCTTGCTTTTTATTTTGGTTTTTCCATCGTAACAGCCCTGACAATATACAGCGATTCTCGGGAGTGAAGGTAATGAGGAGTGATCATTAAAACTTGTTTTATCGCTTGTCCCTTAGGCATTTACAACCTGAACCTGTTCCTTACTGCTTTTTTAAAAATTCATGTTGAACACTAAGATGAAAATTTTATTTCAGCTTTCTCTGAATTAGAGGCAATTTTACTTAGAGAAACCATAACCTTTTTTCTTTCCCAATACCTATTGTTCACGGTTTTTCAGTCTTAAAATACTGAATTGTTTTTCTTTCTGTTCATTTCTCCTTTTAGTTTCCACTGATTTGTACCTAGAGTACTTATTCTATGTTATAACTTTTTTGCTCTTAACCTGCTGTCATTTATTATGCATTCATGGAATTCCAACTAACATTGATCTCAGTTTAATAAAAAGCAGTGAAGTTCAAATCTCATTGTAATCCTCTCTGTTGCAGCTTCAGTTAATGTAGAATTGAACATAATTTTAAAATATATTCTATTTGTTATATTAATCCTGTGATAAAACGTTCAATTACCGAAGATTAGCAAAATACTGCAAAAAGAAAACAATTGTTAATGGTGCAACAACATCAGTTTTTGGCGAAACTGGAGTGCTTAAATGTGCCTCAGGCTTCACTGGTGTTCCTTACTATTTCAGGGGCTCATCTCCTAAGTACATTTTTTTTTCATGCATTACCTCAACAAATTTCTGGAAATCTAATAATGATGAAGGTGTTAGTTGTGAAATGCTAATGCTTTACTTCTCAATCAGGATAGAACAGTGTGCTAGTGGATCCAGAAACCACAGAATAAACTGAGCTGTTAGTTTTACTTAAGATAAAGGAGTTAAGCATTTTAAACATAACCTGTCTTTGAGAATAAACAGGTATGTTTTGAATCTGAGCACCATGTTATCATGAATCAGAGGAGACTTCAAGGAAATTTGAGGCTTAAAGACTTGATACTATGTTCCAAACTTTCAAAGGGTTTACTGAAAAATCTTATGTCATTTAGAAAGATAACATATTCTGTGTATAACATGCAGTCTTAAATGAGCTTGATAGTTTTTTAACATATGTGTACACACTAGTAGCTACCAGCTGTATCATAATGTAGAATATTTCTAGCCCTCAGATAAGGTTTTTTCAATTGCCACTGCTCATTAATTTTAGATAAGTGGACTTACACAATGCATACTTTTTATTTGGCTTCTTTCAATGTAATCTGAAATTCATTCATGTTGCACACTTTATTCTTTTTTATTTCTGTGTAAAGTTCTATTTTATAAATTCATTTTATATTCTGTTGATGGGCATTTGAGTTGTTTCCAGTTCTGAGTAGAATTTGAATAAATATATAAATATGTTCATACTTTTTGCAGATAAAAGTACTCATTTCTCTTACAATTTTATATGGAGAGGTGGAATTGTTAAGTCAATGTTTATGTTCAGTTTTAGTTGAAACTGTTAAGCAGTTTTTCACAAATGATGCCATTTTACTCTCCCACATCAATATATGAAATTTGCTGTCATTCATCCACAGATTTTAAAATTTTAACCATCTTGATGATGATATTAATGGTGAATATCTTTGTGCATACCTCATGAGAGCAACATATGAGAATCCAGAGAAATGGTTATTCTGTGAAGGACTGATTATTCATTCTGCTGCACTTCTACTAATTTTTATTTATAGTCCCATGCAGAATTTGAGCTTTGAATTCTTTTTTAGTTGGCAGAGCTGGATTGTTCTCAATCTTGATGTGTTTTTTTATTGTTATTCTGTTACAGTTGTCCCAGTTTCCCCCCCCTTTGCCCTCCTCCACCTATCCCACCCCCCCACAGTCAGTTCCCACACTGTTGTCCATGCCCATGTATCATTCATACATGTTCCTTGTCCAGTCCTTTCCCCTTCTTTCCACCACTATACCCTCCCTCCTGCCTCCCCTCTAGTCATTGTCTATTCATATATCCATGCATGTGGTTCTATTCAGTCTTGGTGGTGTTTCATAGCACTAATCTTATGTAACTATTATGAACCTGGATTCAGGAACAATGAATCCCAGTTATGTTACTATCTCGGTGTGTGCCTCAGTTTACCCACCTGCAATACAGTTAGCACCTGTCATGCAAATTACTATGAATATGAAAAGAATTAACATACATAATACCCCTGAGTAGGTGCTAAAGTATTAGTTATTACTAAAATAAGTTATATTTACTTAAAACATTCAGTGTATTTGAGCAAAGAAAATTTATAAAGCAATTTTTAAATTTTACCTTGTAATAAATTATAATTACGCATCAGAGTATTTAAAGCAGAAAATGTCTTAGACTTCTAGAGAGCTATCTTTATAAGTAGGCAAAAGGGCAATGCTCAGAAGTTTCCTTACCACAAAATATCTTCTATGAGTATCTAACTTCACCTTTGGACCATTTTTCAGACTTACAGACTTTTACTTAAATGTTAAACCACATGATCCTTGGGAAAAGATATTCTGAAGCTCCATTATCAGCAAAGCTTTAGAGAAAAAACTGACATCTAGCAAAGGGAATAAAAGGACACAAAAAAGAAAAGATTAGAGCAGGGGTGTCAAGCTCATTGGTGGGGGTGGGGGTGGGGGTGCATGGCACATCAACCTCAAGGTTGCCTTCAAAGGACTGAATATAATTTTAGGACGTATAAATATAACTGCTCCTTAACCAGGGGCAAGGAACTCACCAGGTAGAAACCACTGCCACCAGGTAGAAACAAGGTGCTGACCTGATAAAACCGTAGCAAGGCCCTCAGGCTGTGTGTTTGCTACCTGTGGATTAGAGGGATGCTAAAACAGCCTTCTTAGACTTGACCTTTTAAAAGTTAAAACATACAGAACAGATTTAATCTAATTCTAAAGCAGTTATTCTTCATTTTCATAGAATAAATATGCTTATTAATGAATATCATTCAAAAAGCATTTTGAAAATACATAGCTGTCAGACAACTTGTTTTGGGCCTTCAGTCCCAACTTGACCTTTTCAAGTGGGAAGGGGGAGGGTATTTTATAGGGTTATAAGAGAGTAGTAAAATATGGAATAACCAAAAATAAAATTTGTCTATGTCTGATCTGGCTACCTAAAATTTTTTTTTTTACTTCCTTTTTTGTAATCTCCATATTCTGGGCTCAGCTGTTGTCTTTGGGAGGGAGCAGGAATAATCACATAATCTTGCAGCCAAGCCTTGCAGCTAATCTTGAATTTACCTACTTTTCACTTTCCATTGTCTTCTTCAAAGTAGGTGGAATAAATGTACTGGAATTCATTTGTTCAGAAAATGTATTGGTAGTAGAGCATTCATTTGTACTTGATTGCTTCATGGAGTGTTAATGTAATAAGGAAGATAAATATTACTAGGTACTAAGGGAGATATAAGTTTCTAGGTTGTCAAAAGTTTGCCAGTTTATGAAATAAAAGTATAATGTATTATACAATAACATAATAGGCAAACCTAACATAACGTAGTTGGTGGAAGATTAGAAAGAGTTTCCTGGAGGAAAGAAACAAAGCTGAAACCCTAATGGCTAGTTAGCCAATGATAGAAGGGATAGGTAATTTAATCTTCCAGGCAGAGGGAACAGCTTGTATAAATTTTCTAAATTGGGAGAGAGGCAGTGGCACTTTGGAAGAACTGAGTTTTTATTTGAAATGGAAAAGAGCTAAAAACTGCCAATTTCTAACTAACACATTTTAATTACTGTTTCGTAGGTAATCTCCGGACAGAAGCTCACACGCTTATTTACATCAAATCAGATATTACCGAGTGAATGCTTGAGTTGCCTTGTAGAGCTGCTTGAAGACCCAAACATAAGTGTACCACTGATCTTTAGTATCGTTGGTTTGCTATCTCAATTAGGTAATTTATTATTATTTTTTAATTTTTTAAAAGGTGTATGAATTTAATAGTTTTTAAGGGGCAAGTTTAGTTATAGAATCTTTGGGAGAATGATTCACATTCAAAAGATTTCTTCATTACAGACCTTACAGAGCTATTTTCCTTTGTGGATCCCTTGAAAAGGGGATGTTGGATCCATCCTTAAAATTATCGGATCTAAAAATCGCAAGCATGTCAAAGTTTCAGTAGTCTACAGATAGGAATGTGCCTTGGGAAATACTGACCTACTTTTGAATTTTACAAAAGTACATTCACATAATGCCAATACTAAATACAGCACTAAGAAAAATGGCTATGATCAAAAAAGTCATTCTTTTTTGATAGACTTCACTGAACTTAGGGCTAAGGGTAAAAACATAGCTTTGGGTTTTAATTTTTTATTTAGTAGCTACTTTTTCCCTTGGTTTGTATTTGTGGATATAGGGAAGATATTTTTGTGTGTGGTTGTGAAATTAACACGCTTGTTATTTTAAAAAAAATTCCAGTAATCCGTAGTAATACAATTTCTGTGACTAACCTTCTGAATTGGAAAGTATTTGTAAATAAAATAGCCATATCCTATTTTACTTTTTTGTATAATGGCAAATTTAATATGGAAGTTAAAATTCTTATTTCTTTCATCCAAGAAAACTACATGTCAAATTGATATATTTTGTGCCATTTTATTTTAATTTACAGCTGTAGACAATGAAACTAGAGACTATCTTCAGAATACGTATAACCTGAATAATGTGCTGGCAGGAGTGGTATGTCGGAGCAGCACTTGCCACAATGATTCAGTGTTTCTGCAGGTATACAGAGCCACACAGTACTTTTCACTCAGTACTTGTACTTCCTTATTTTCAGATCAAAGTTGATAGTATCTATTAGAAATTGCTAACTCTTAGTGTATATACCAGCGTAGTACTGCATGATTAAGCATATTCTTGCCATAAATAAATTTAAGAACTGATTGTTTATACATGTAGTACTATTTAAAAGTTTCTTCAGAGGAAAGCTTATTCACATCTAGCACTATTACTGAAGTGTGAACAGATCTACGTTGTAAAACTGCTTTGACAGACATATAAACAGATGTCAGTATTTTGAGATGTAACTTATTCACATTAAAATTGTCATTTGATTTAGCATCCAGTCTCAATTTGTTAAGGAAACATTCTATAGAAATTGAAGCTATAGATTTGGTTTTATTTAGCATAGACTCAAATCTCTTGTACCCATATTATTGAACGTAAAATATACGCTTATAAGAAAGGAAAGCAAAGCCAGTTAAACTGATGTGCAATTTTAAAGATGGTAAATGTGAAAAAAGTACATTTATTCTATGTATTCTATATATCTTAGAATTGATGGAATTATAAGATTAAGTAAACCAGATTGATGAAAAGATGCTCTTTTTGAGATTGATATATAGGAATGTGTGAATCAGGAGACGAATCCTAAAGTTCTTAGTAGTCTTATCACTTTATATTTTAAAAAGAGAGAGAGAACCATTTTAAGAAATGGAAAAGTTCTTACTCTAAATTCTGCCTCCTAAAATGGTCACATACCCAGAATATACATAGAAGTTCATTCTTGGAGAGCATGCAAACTATTTTTATGTTTTTATGTTCATTACTATCTTTTTTTATTCTCAGTGCATTCAGCTTCTGCAGAGGTTAACATATAACATCAAATTTTTCCATTTTGGTGCCAATATAGATGAATTAATTACATTCCTGATAGATCACATGTAAGTATGCAACCAAACATGTAACCAAATAATATATTGGTTTATTTTTAAACTAAAACCATGTAATAGTTCATTTTTTTTAGGTAATTTTTTCATCTTTTTTAAACAGAGACTGGTTCTTGTCTGCTCCTCTTAAATGATTCTAAGGATGTGAAACAGCTTTATTTTTCCAACAAAATTTTAATGGCTTTATTTGAGTAGAAAAAAATTGTCGTAAACTGAAAGTTCTATGTTTATATTTAATCTTCTTGATATGAGAATATACTGATGAATTAGCACATGATCACTCTGACAGTTATTTCCACATTTTCATGCTGCAATGAAGAGGATCATTTAGTTACAAAACATGAAATAAATGGACAATACTATTCAAAGCTTGACTGTCTTCCATGTTAATTAGATTTTTCTTTTTACATGCAAAGAGAAATTTATGTGTGTATATTTTGAATAATATAAATGAAGTTCATGCCTTTTTTTATTATTTTTCTTAAAACAACAGTCAGTCTTCTGAAGATGAGTTAACAATGCCTTGTCTAGGATTATTGGCAAATCTTTGTCGACACAATCTTTCTGTTCAAACACACATAAAGACTTTGGTAAGAAGTTTTTTTCTTTCTTGTTTTGTTGTGGGCTGTGCAATTCAAGAAAACTTTATCCATTTTGTCTCATCCAGCTGCCCCATCAAAGTTGATGAAGAATCAGATTGATGTATAAATGTCTTAAAGTATTCTAGCCTTCATGTATGTTGTGTTTAAGATATTAAGGGTTAATACAAATGTTGAATACTAAAAGTTTTCCTCCTATTAGCATTCTGTTGTTTGTTGTATTGAATAACACAAGAAAAGCTAAGTTATTTTGTGCTGATAGAAGCGGGGCATATCACCAGCAGTCCAATCTACTTCAATCTTATATTTCCACAAAATTCATGGCAACTCCCACCAGAAAGATTCATGAATAAATGCCTAGCATCAACTACCAGTACTTGTGATAAATAAAGACACACTAATGAGATTAACTGACTCATCATTAGAAATATATTAAATCAAGGTAGTTCATTGATTCTTTAAAGTGCTTTGTGAATAGTTCTCTACTGTGGAATATACAGGATCTGGTACACATAACACCCCTTGTTTATTACATAAAAATTTTTTGTTAGAAAATTATAAGCATGTAATTCTGTAACATAACATTACTGCTCTCAAGCACAGTGTATGACATTTTAGGTGAAATATTCAAATTACTGTCCATCTCATGCGAGACATTCATATACCCTACCATCCACATTCAGCAGCATTTCTTTTGCTGGACCCTGCACATTATTACCTGTTTAGTTTTAAATTAAATAATATCTCGTTTGTTTATGTGCTGGATTATTCTGACCTAGTGTTGTTTTGGAGGTGGAGGTTATTTTGAGCCATGGAAGTGTTTGAGAAGTTAAACCTTTACTCATAATCCTGAATCTAAACACTATTCTTCATCACGATTGTACTTGTCTATACTACTGTAAGCAGTATATGAAAGTACCCTCTCCTTGAAATGATCTCGTAAGTTGATAATGATGTTTAATAAACATTTACCTACCCTGTGCAAGATATACTTTCTAAACCAAAATATAAAACACAATTTTTCATTCTATTTTTTTCTTCCTCAGAATAATGTGAAATCTTTTTATCGAACTCTTATAAGCTTCTTGGCCCATAGCAGTTTAACTGTAGTTGTGTTTGCACTTTCAATATTATCCAGTTTGACATTAAGCGAAGAGGTTGGAGAAAAGGTAAATATCATTTTGCTATTATTTTTGAAGATAATTCTGAAGTTTACATTCTCTGATACTTTAAGTCATTGAGGCTCATTTAGGATGTTTCAAATTAATTTTTTTTTGGTATAATGTGCTTTTCCTAATTTGTTTTTAAGCTGTTCCATGCTCGAAACATTCATCAGACTTTTCAGCTGATATTTAATATTCTCATAAATGGTGATGGCACCCTGACCAGAAAGTATTCAGTTGATCTGTTTATGGATCTCCTTAAGAATCCTAAAATTGCTGACTATCTTACCAGGTAAGTCTCTCTTTGACAAATTTTAAAACTTCAAAAAAATAAAAACAAACAAGAGTTGTTTCTGATAAATAAAACTGTCTTTTTAGATAATAAACTTGAGTTTTGCTGATTCAGAGTAGCCTAAATACAAATATTTTTAGGCTACTTTGATGTGCTTTATTCTTATTCTTTTTTTATGTGCTTTTTGATGTGCTTTATTCTTATTCTTTTTTGTTTTCCTTGCCAGAAATGTAAAAGTATAACGAGAGTTTGTGTGTCTGTTTCAGTCTTTGTCTAAGATGAATAAGGGTGTGTTGTTCTCCAAAATGTATACATCTTGATTAATCTGTTTCCAAACCAGTTTTAAATCTTGAACATTATAATTTTTTGAAACAATATTTTTTTGAAGATTTTATTTATTTTTAGATCGAGAGGAAGGAAGGGAGAGAGAGAAACATCCATGTGTTTGCCTTTTGCACGTCCCCTACTGGGGACCTGGCTCACAATCCAGGCATGTGACCAGACTGGGAATAGAACCCATGACCCTTTGGTTTGCAGGCTGGAGCTCAATCCACTGAGTCACACCAGCCAGGGTGAAACAGTATTTTTATTATAAGAACATTACTGTCAGCATGTCTTTCTGTGTTTTTTTTTCCTTTTTTTGTATAAAAATGGATGTTTCCTTCAGTGGAAGCCTCAGTTGTGTTATAAGGTAAAAATAAGAATACATGTTTAGATGTCCATTCTATCACAATAGCATTTCATGTGGTTATTTATGTTTTGAGTTCGATTAGCAACCATTTTCCAAGGAGCTCATGTACATTTTGCATCTTGAGTTAAATTTTCCCAGTGTCTAAACTGCTTTGTGGTTCTAAGTTAGAAAACCGTTGAAATTACTTCAGAGACTTAAATTAACGAATCTTTCAGAAACAAAATGTTTATTGAGCTCTACTATGGCCGAGTACACAGGAAGAGTCAGTGTTAGCAAAGGCAGGGATATGAAAACATAGTCCTTAAACTTTAAGGAATATAGAATCTAGAACAGGAGTGTCAGACTCCTTTTCAGCAGGGGCCACATCAGCCTCGTGGTCACCATCAAAGGGCCGAATGTAATTTTAGGACTGTGTACATGTAACTACTTCTTTACTAGGGGCAAGGAGCTCTACATTTGGCCCTTTGAAGGCAACCGTGTATAGGATAATTTCAACTTAACTTTTTTTGTATGATACGCTTTTCCTAATTTACTTATATGAAAATTTAAAAGTAAATTTCCTAATTTGCCTTTCCTAATTTCTTAATGTGCTTTTCTGATCTAGAAATTATAGTTTCTAATCTTTAAGGAACACAGAATATAGAAGTTATAACAAAAGCTAAGCGCAAGGGCAAGGTTGACCAGTACTCATATGGTCAACTGATACTTAGAAACAGCAAACAACATTCACCATGGTGTTTTATCTTTTCTTCTCTTAAGCCTCAGTAGATAAATGTCTTTGGAGTACTTTGTTCTGAGAATCTTCCCAGTATATTCTCAAGTAATACCCATTCTAACCACCAAATACAGTAGTACTTATTTAACAGCTTTGGAGTAAACAAAAAAACTATTTTGGGTATACCTCTCTAAGAGGACAGAAAGATAATCTGATTTAACACTAGTAAGTGGTTGCTTAATCACTTCTGTATATCTCTTAGTCCTATTATGTATTTTCTTTTCTGCATAACATAGAACCCCTGATTCCCTCTGAAAGAAAATTATGTTGTCCTCTTATTTATCTGCTCTACCATTTAGCAAAACATTCCTGATTCTGTTACAAAGTCTAACTTAATGCCTGGGTTCCTTATCAACTCTTGAAAAAAATCATGAATTCTGAATTTGTATACTGCATGCTCATGATCTCTGGCTTTACCTTGGCAACATGTCTTACATTTATTCAGCTTTCTTTCACATTTTCCACAGTGCCTCCTTTAAATATTTACTACTTGCCATTTTTCACTTAGAAAATGCCCTTAATCTCTTTGTTTCATAGGGAAGACAAACAAAAAAAAACACCCAGAATCCCATATAATTGGCATTTCCTCAAATCTGTTCTCCTGAGTAAGGTTACCTCTGTTTATTCCACCTCTTACTTAGTGCCTTCCTGTTTTGTTTGTAAACACATCCCATTATTCTGTGCACTGAGTTTCATTCTCTCCTATCCTCAGCAGTTTCTCTTATTTCTTTAGTCCCTACCATTTAGTTGACTCCCTTGATTTACACATACGCCCAACTTTCATCTTTTTCTTCAACCATATGTCCCTTTGAAATTCTGTGATCTGCCATTGTTTTCAAGGTGAATATCCAAATTCTCAGTTAACCCTCCAAAATCTGGTCCATGGCAGTATTTCGACCTTATTTCTTCACATTTTCTTTCTTACATATTTTTGTATAATTTCACACAATAAATAGGACCACCAACTTGCTAGAAATGCCATTTCATGTATCCACGTGCTGTTGTCTCTGAAGTGCTTTGTTTGGAAATCTGGAAAACTCTATTTCCTATGTATGTCTGACCCATTTATTCTTTTTTTAAAAATATATATATTTTTTTAGAGAGAGGGGACAGGAAGGAGAAAGAGAAGGAGAGAAACATCAATGTGTGGTTGCCTCTCAGGTGTCCCCCACTGGGGACCTGGCCTGCAACCCAGGCATGTGCCCTTACCGGGAATCAAACCAGCGACCCTTTGTTTCACAGGGCCTCGCTCAATCCGCTGAGCTACACCAGCCAGGGCCTGACCCATTTATTCTTATTTTATGTTTTATCTTTGTTCAATTTAAAAAATTTTTTTCTTTATTTTTATTATTGACACTATTACGGATGTCCCTATTTCCCCCAAACCTTCTGCCCACTTTTACTCAGCCCCCACCCGCTTCCCTCTAGCCATCACTATACAGTGGGCTAATCACTTCCCCTTCTTTCATTTAGTCTCCCCTGCTCTGCTCCCCTCAGACAGCTGTCACACTGTTCCATACATCCATGCCTCTGTTTCAGTTGTGTTTGTCATTTTATTTTGTTAATTAGATCCCACATATAAGTAAGATTGTATGGTGTTTCTCTATTTCTGACTAGCATATTTTACTTAGCATAATAATCTCCAGGCCCATCTTTGCTGTGGCAAAAGGCAAAAGTTCTTTCTTTTTATTGGCTGTGTAAATATGTACAACAGCCCTTTTGTTCACTCATCTATGCTGGGCATTTGGATTATTGTCCAGATCTTGCCTATTGTAAATAAGGCTGCTATGAATGTAGGAGTACATATATTCTTTCTGATTAGTGTTTCAGAATTCTTAGGATGTATTCCCAGAAGTGGGATCACTAGGTCAAAAGGCAATTCTGTTTTTAATTTTTTGAGGAAAGTCCATACAGTTTTCCATAGTGGCTTCACCAGTCTGCAATCCCACCAACAGTGCACAGGGATTCCCTTTTCTCCACATCCTTGCCAGCACTTGCTATTTGTTATTTAGTGATGGTAGCCATTCTGGCAGGTGTGAGGTGATATGTCGTTGGGTTTTTCTTTTTCTTTTTTTTTTGTATGTTTTATTGGTTATGCTATTATAGTTGTCCCATTTTTTTCTCCCTTTTATCTCCCTCTGCCCTGTACCCCCTTCCCACCATCATTCCACCCCCACCTTAGATCATGTCCATGGATCATACGTACACGTTCTTTGGCTTCCCCATCTCCCATACTATTCTTAACTTCCCCCTGTCTATTTTCTACCTCCCATTTATGCTTCTTACTCCCTGTACCTTTTCCCCCATTCTCTCCTCTCCAGCTCCCTGCTGATAACCTTCCATGTGATCTCCATTCCTGCTCTAGTTGTTTGCTTAGTTCCTTTTTTTTAAGGTTCGGTCATTGATAGATGTGAATTTGTTGTCATTTTACTGTTCATATTTTTTATCTTTTTCTTAGATAGGTCTCTTTAACATTTCATATAATAAGGGTTGGTGATGATGAACTCCTTTAACTTGACCTTATCTGAGAAGCACTTTATCTGCCCTTCCATTCTAAATGAAAGCTTTGCTGGATAGAGCAATCTTGGATGGAGGTCCTTGCCTTTCATGACTTAGAATACTCCTTTCCAGCCCCTTCTTGCCTGTAAGGTTTCTTTTGAGAAATCAGCTGATAGTGTTATGAGCACTGCTTTGTAGGTAACTGACTCCTTTTTGTCTTGCTGTTTTTAAGATTCCCTCCTTATCTTTAATCTTGGATAGTGTAATTATGATGTGCCTTGGTGTGTGCTTCTTTGAGTCCAACTTCTTTGCGACTCTGAGCTTCTTGGACTTTCTGGAAGTCTGTTTCGTTTGCCAGATTGGGGAAGTTTTCCTTAGTTATGTTTTCAAATAAGCTTTCGATTTCTTGCTCTTCCTTTTCTCCTTCTGGCACCCCTATGATTCAGATGTTGGAATATTTCAAGCTGTCCCAGAGGTTCCAAAGCCTTTCCTCATTTTTTTGAATTCTTGTTTCTTCATTCTTTCCAGTTGCATGTTTCTTCATTCTATTCCAAGTCATTGATTTGAGTCCCAGTTTCCTTCCCATCTCTATTAGTTCCTGTATATTTTCCTTTATTTCCCTTTGCATAGCCTTCACTTCTTCCTCTATTTTGCAACCATACTCAACCATTTCTGTGAGCATCCTTGAATACCAGTGTTTTGAACTCTGCATCTGATAGGTTGGCTAGCTCTTCATTGCTTAGTTGTATTTTTTCTGGAGCTTTGATATGTTCTTTCATTTGGGCCATATATTTTTGTCTTGGTGCACCTGTTACTTAGTAAGGGGCAGAGCCTTAGGAATTCATCAGGGTGGGGCAACCCACATCACAGCATTGTTGCACTGTATGTGGGGGAGGGATCAGAGAGGGAACAGTGCTGCTTGCTCAGCTCTCCATCGCTTTTCAGTCACTTCCCCCACTACCCATAAGCAAAGTGGGCCCTTCTGGTGCTGATTCCCAGATGGGTGGGCTTGTGTACATTCTAAGGCCTTATGGGTCTCTCCAACAAACTCCTGTGAGGGTGGGGAGTTTCTCCCACCACTGCATCCCCCTCAGATTTGTACAGCCAGAGGTTTTGAGGCTTTATGTACCTGGAACCCTGGGTTGTGTGGTCTGTCTCATTACCCAATTGTACCTCCCAGTTTATCTGCACACAAATGTGAGACTGCCCAGTCTGCTACCTTGCCGCTCGCTTATCCTCTTTGTCCTGGCTGCCCATCTCTGCCCCTAATACCAGTCTGGATGAATATTTTTTCTTTAACTCCTTGATTGTTGGACTTCTGTGGTTTGATTTTTCTGTCAGTTCCGGTTGTTTTTTGTTTTTAAATTGGTTGTTGTCCTTCATTTGGTTGTGCAAGGAAGCAAAGCATATCTACCTGCACCACTATCTTGGCAGTAAGTTCCCTCATTGTGGTTTTAATTTGCATCTCTCTGGTGATCAGTGACATTGAACATGTTTTCATATGTCTTTTGGTCAACTGTATTTTTTCTTTGGAGAATTATCTATTGGGTCCTCTGCCCATTTTTTAATTGGATTATTTGTCTTCCTGGTTTTGAATTGTATAAGTTCTTTACATTTTTTTAAATTAAACCCTTATCAAATATATCATTGTTAAGTATGTTTTTCCATACAGTGGGTTTCCTTTGTATTTTGTTGGTGGTGTCTTTTGTTGTGCAGAAGCTTTTTAGTTTGATGTAGTCCTATTTGTTTATTTTTTTCTTTATTTCTCTTGTCCTAGGAGACATATTAGCAAAACTATCACTAAGAGAGACATCTGAGATTTGGAAGCCTATGTTTTCTTTTAGGATTTTTGTGGTTTTTGACTTAAATTAAGTTTTTTTTATCTATTTTGAGTTTTTCCTTGTGTATAGTGTAAGTTGGTGGTCTAGTTTCCTTTTTTTTGCATGCACCTGTTCAGTTTTCAAGAGACCATCTTTACCCCATTGTATATGCTCTTGTCTATTTGTCAAATATTAATTGACCATAAAAATATGGGCTGAGGCCCTGGCTGGTGTAGCTCAGTGGATTGAGCGCTGGCCTGCAAGCCAAAGGGTTGCCAGTTCAGTTCCTAGTCAGGGCACATGCCTGGGTTTCTGGCCAGGTCCCCAGTAGGGAACATGCAAGAGACAACCACATATTGATGTTTCTTTCCTTCTCTTTCTCCCTCCTTCCCCTTCTCTCTAAAAGAAATAAAATCTTTTTAAAAATGGGTTGATTTCTGGGCTCTCTGTTCTGTTCCATTGTTTTTTAATACTTAAGTCTGGGAAACTTCACTTGATCAGGCCTGTTCCACTAAGTCTAGGTTTGATACTCATCTTGAATCATAGCATTTAGACATTTCCATTATAGCATATTTTACATTACATTATATTACTATTATTATTATTATTATTATTTTGTCTCCATCCTTAGGCTTTGAGTACTCTGGCAGGACACTACTCTCCCAAATCTGGATGTACTAATCATATAGATTATAATTAGACTAGTATCACTAGAGTATCACTAATACCTTTTAGAGTTAATTAACACAGGGCCCTGCTCTTTACCTCTGTATCTGCACAGCCTAGTTTAATGTCTGGAAATTGTAGATGCTTTAGAAATAAGTAGCTACTTCATTAGTATACATACTAGTTTTCTTTGAATTTTACAGCCTTTAAAAAAGGCTATCGAGGTATGGAAAGGTTAAATGACTTATTTATTGCTACATCAGTCTTTTTTTCAGTCTTAAAAATGACAGCCAATTTATGTGTATCATAGTGATAGAATATGTTTCAAGTTTAAAGTATAAACTTTACAAAGACTGTTCTATATTAGAAGCTTAAACAGATGAAAGAAAATACACTTAAATTTTATATTTATTTTGTACATAAATTATTTTTAATGTATCAGCATAGTGGTGAGACAAGAATTTACTTCATGAAGTGTTTTCCATGATATTTTAGGACCCAGCTAGCACCATATGTAGTTATTATAATATTATTCATTTGATGTGTATTTTTATTTTAAACCTAGGTATGAGCACTTTTCTTCATGTCTTAAGCAAGTATTAGGTCTTCTTAATGGAAAGGATCCTGATTCTTCTTCAAAGGTATGTAAAAACATGACTGTTTTAAACTTTTTAAATACTATAATGTGGGGAAAGTCTAAGTACACAGTTCTGTCAATTTTTACAAACTAAACACAGATGTATAGTCTAGATCAGAAGACAAAACATTACCAATGCTCTAGAACCCTCCTCTAGACTGGTACACTGGTACAGTCCCTTTTGAAAACTATTCCACGGTGCCTACTAAATGTATGTGTACCGTATAACAACACAGCAGTTCGACTCCTAGCTATATAGCCAAGAAAGACATGTCCATAAATTCACCACAATACATGTACAAATTGTTCAACAAATAGAAAATGAAATGTTTTAAATGATACCATTTACAGATTTTTAAAAATGTTAAATGATTAGGGGATAAATCCAATAGAACATGTACAAAGCCTCTACTATGAAATTACAGAACATTGAGGGAAATAAACAACCTAAGTAAATATGGACACACCAAAGTTCATAGATTACAAGAGGCTACGATATTAAGTCAATCAAAATTCTAGGACATTGTAGTGTTTTTTGTTTTTTGTCTTTATTTTGGTATATGTGGAAATTGGGCAGCTGATTATAAAATTTTGCTTTTAAAGAGTTTATTTAGTTATTTTTAGAGGGGAAAGGAAGGAGTGAAACATTGATCATTTGCCTCTCACACACCCCCAAATGGGGACCTCACCCACAGCCCAGGCATGTGCCCTGACTGGGAATTGAACTGGCAACCCTTTTGGTTCACAGGCCGGCACTCAATCCACTGAGCTACACTTGCCAGGGCTTATTATAAAATTTGTGTGGTTATGCATAGGTCCAAAAATAACCATGGCTATCCTGAAAAAAGAATGAACAAAGTTGGAGGGTTTATAATACTATTAGATATCAAGATTTAATATGAAGCTACAAAAATTAAAACAGTGCAGTATTAGCATGAGTGTAGACAGCTAGCCCAATGGAACAAATACAGTGCAAACCAAGCCTATATTTTGTGGGTTTTCTGAGAACCGTGTAGTCTTAAAAGTATGGTCATTTTAATAAGTACCACTGGGTCAATTGAATATCCATATGGGAAGAAAACTGAGTTTTGACCCTTACCTCACACCAAATGTGAAAATCAGTTCTAGAAAGATTGTAGATCTATATGTGAAAGGTAAAGCAGTGAGCTTTCAGAAGAAACACCTAACAGAATATCTTTATAGCCTTGGAAGAGACAAAGATTTTCTTAAATAGGAAACAAAGACAACTGTGTAGGAAAAAAGTTGATAAGTGGGACTATATTAAAATTAAGGGTTTCTGTTCATGAAAAGTCTACCAATAAAGGAGTGAAAAGGCAACTCACAGCATGGGAAAGGGTACCTATAATACATATATCCAAAAAAGAACTCTTATCTAAAATATATTATTTAAAAACTTGTGCATATACATCAGAAAAAACACTGAAAGTAATAGCTAACCTAAACAAAACTTGGTCAATAAACATGAAATGGTTGCTCAATTTATTAAAACTTAGGTAATGCAAAGATAAATAGTAATGAAATACTACTGCATATCCACCAGATGATTAAAGTTAAAAATAGGGATAAGAGCAAGCATAGATAAGAATGTAAAGAATTCCTAAGTGTCCCACTCATGGGCTGAAAATTGATTCAGCCACTTATGAAAACTGTAGTATCTACTAACAGTGGACCACGTGCATACACCAGGACCCAACCATTTCTACTCTTAGGTGGCTACCCCAAAGAACTGAATGCATATATTTACCAGAAGACATACACAAAACACTGCTGCTGCTGATAGCCAAGAATTAGAAACAACTCAAATAGCTTTGAAATGGGCACATAAACTGTAGTATATTTATACACTCAAATACAATCACCCACCACAGGAAAGCATTCCAAGAAATGAGTCATTGTATGAACATTGTAAATGTAGCCATACAAACCTAGGTGGTATAGCCCCACTATACACGTAGGCTATGGTATAGCCTCTTGGTCCTGGGCTACAAAACTGTACGGCATATTACTGCATTGGATACTGTAGGCATTTGTAACGCAATGGTATTTATGCATCTCAACATAGAAAAGGTACAGTGAAATTACAGAATAAAGGATAAAAAATGGTGCACTGTGTAAGGGCACTTACCATGAATGAGGTTGCTCTGGGTGAGTGAGTGAGTAGTGAATATGAAGGTCCAGGACGTTAATAAAGACTTTATAAACACTGAACACTTAGGCTACCCAAAATGCATGAAACACAAGATTAAATCAAGCACAAGAGAAAATGCTATAGTCAAGAGTTCTTTGAAGGTGCTACTGGCGTTAACAGCATACTGTTTTATAGTAAGGTTGTTTTTGTTTTAATAAGAGAACACTCTAAAATAATGATTAAAAGTATACTATAGTAAATATGTAAAGTAATAGTAAAGTAATACATAACGTATAGTAAAGTAATAACAGTCATTTGTTGTCAAGTAGTATGTGCTGAAAATATGTGCTACACTTTTATACAACTAGCAGGCAGTAAGTTTGTTTACACCAGTGTCACCACAAACACATGAGTAATGTGTTACACTCTGAAATTAAGATGACACTAAGTGATAGAGATTTTTCAGCTCCAATATAATTTTCTGTGACTACCACTATATATGTGGTCTGTCACTGAAATGTCATGTGGCATGTGACTGTACTATACAGCAGAGAGCATGAGTGAAATGCAATAAGGATGCGACTTTAGCCAGCAGGGTCTGTGTATTGTGGCTGCCACGAGCAAATTCACACAGGCTAGAGAAGTCCTGTGGAGGAAAGGTACAGCACAGCCGCTGTCTAAGAGAGAGCAGTCTGACCCTTGCCTGGACAGGCTTTTATTGCTTGTCTGGGTGCATTACATGGAGGATGGTCCTCATTTACTATGCACAGGTTCACTTTAGATGATTACCTTTTACAGATAATAAAGGAAAGAATGTTGCTAATTACTTCAAAGAAAAGGGTATTTTGCTAATGCAAGGGGAAAAGTGGTTGAACTGGTTATACTCTGTACTTGGAGGCTTAGCACAGATTTTAGGAAGTTACTTTAAAGATTCACAGTAAACATTTGCTGCCTCAATTCAGGGTTGAGAGAGTTTTAGCAAAAAGCAAGCCTGAAAGGTACAATGCAGGCCTGATTCCCCACAGGAAAACCGATTCGTGGGCTCGGTCCTGTGCCGACTTGCTCCCTGCCAGTTTTCCAGATTGGCTGGGCTATATTTGCCACTGCCACACGGATAGGTTCCCTGTACAATAGCATGCAACAGTATGAATAAATCTCACTAACACAGTGCTAAGCTAAAGAAGCCAGACATAAGAGTATAACACTGTAAGATGCTGCTTGTGTACAGTGCGGGGCAAAAGTAGGTTTGTTAATTACTGTATTTTCTATATGAACAATTGTAAACCTGCGTTTGCCCAACTGTGTAAATTTCCATTTGATTGTTTAGTATAAACTGGTAAACTGATTGAAAAATTATGTAGAAATATAAAGATCCAGGAATAGCTAAGATAAAATTAATCTATGGTGTCAGAAATCTGATGTGGAGGAGTGGTTCCTCATTGCCTTAGGAGGGGACACAGGGGATTCTGGAGTTCTGGTAGAGTTTTCCTTCTTGATCTGGTCGCTAGTTACACAGATGTGTTCACTTTGGGAAAACCAACTAGATTTGCATTAGTGACTGACTTGTTTACTTCTCTGTATATTACACTTACTGAGAAAGTGTACTTGAGGAAGTATTTTCTTGTGTGTGCGTAACACATCTCTAGTAAGATAAGAAACTAGTAACATTGCTTGCCCCAGAGAGTGTAGCTAGAGGTCAGGCTGTTAGCTTTTACTTTGGAATTAAGAAAATGGATTACCTGTTCAAAAGTAAGTACTATAATTTATATTTAAAAGAATAAATCAAAGATTGCTTATCTTTTGTTTCACAGTAAATGCTAATAGGCTGAATTCTGTTCATATTAGATACTCTCAAGTTGATTAAAGCACAAATCCCAATTACAAGTCATTTACAAGAAACTAAAGTGGAAAATAAGTGATAGCCTAAAAGATACAAAAAATTTATTTGCAGTAGGTTGGTAGTATATGAAATAAGGTAGAGTTTAACATAACAAGTTGATGCTTGATGTTGTGTAATGATAGAAGGCCTAATTACGAAAGAAAACAGAAACGAAGTGCAAGAGGGGCGCTGAGGGGCATAACACTGACATGTAAACATGGTGTGGAAACAGCCATTCTTTGGGTTGTAGCCCTTCGGAATGCCACTTTTAAATATTAACCTAAAGTATGCTTTATAGCAGTTCTTGAATCTTAGCATGACAGCAAGGATTAATTACTAATCTTATTTTTAATTTTTTTCCATTTTAGGAACAAAACATTCATGCTTAAAAAATTAAAGTACTATTTATTAGTTGAACATCAGTTGAAATTGCCCTTTCTTTTTCGGTTCTCAAAGTCCTGTTTATCAGGAGTAACCACCAAGAGCAAATGTCTTTGTAACTGTGGAACTTATTAACTCATTTTGAAAAGTAATATGGAAAGGAAACTTGGAAACTGCTTTTAATTTTTATATTTTCTTTAAAAATGTATGTCATTTTCAGCTTCATAATTTGATTGCTTTGTGTGAAATTGACATTTAATGAAGACTTTATATTGCACAGGTTTTAGAATTACTTCTTGCCTTCTGTTCAGTGACTCAGCTGCGTCATGTGCTCACTCAGATGGTATTTGAACAGTCTTCACCTGGCAACACCGTCCTGGGAAGCCGTTCTAAATGTTTAGAACCTAGTGTAGCTCTCCTTCGTTGGTCAAGCCAACCTGTGGATGGATCGGAAAACTGTTCTATTTTAGCACTGGAGTTACTCAAGGAAATATTTGAGGTAATATTTGACAATTTGACTTTTCCACTTTTATGATTCTCAGTGAACAGTTAGTTTTCAAAAATATTCATAATAAACTTCCAGTTAGTTGTTCATACACTTTAGGAAAACTTCTCCATTGCTAGTCTCCATACCATTTAGCTACTGAATATCTTTTTTCTGACAAAGTCACAAATATTAGTGTTTTCCTTGCTGTCGCTGAATAGTGCTTTGTGTTTGTGTATATGTATATGCGTATATATGTGTGTGTATATACTTTTCAGTGTAATAAGTAAAGGCTTTTGACTTGTATGTTTTGCTGCTATACGACGATTTTTTTAAGTAGTCACATCCTATCTTTCTTAGTAGATACTGTCTGCTCTCCCCATTAGCCTGTTGAATGGATTAAGAGAGGAATGTTAGATTCAGTGAAATGGCATGGAGCATGCCGTACACTCCTAGTCACTTAAGATATAGACAAAAATTATTTCTGTAGAAGCTATTACATTCTAGCAGATTCTACTGTCAGGATTATTTTGTGTTCTCTACTGTTCTCCATGTTTTTACCCATTCTGCCTACCCTCACTATTTTCCTAGAATGTCTCCCTTCTCCTTACTGGATCCTGTGCACAAACAAAAATGTGTATGAATGATTACATATATTAAGAATTATGCTCAAGTTGTGTTTTCTGTTTTCTCTTGGTCTTAACTGTTAATCAGTTTTAGTATTTAGAAATCCTTCAGATTCTTGATTGTAATTATTTGTGGTTGTAAAACATTAAGACTATTGTCTATTTATTATTTAAATTCTTTAAATCTATTATGATTACATTTAGCGAGTTCAAGATACTTTTTTTAATACAAACCTTTAATTTATAACAATTTTTAAATGACAAATATAGTCCATTTAAAAGTGTCTTGTTTATAGCTGACTAACCCAAAACTTTGTTTCATTTGAGAAAAAAAGTTATTATAGCCCTGAAAACTAGATAAAAGGAGAAATTTTAAGGATATACAGGTTAATGAACTATTAAAATAATTATAAATATTTTAAAAGAATATAGCAGCTCCATGAGGACTGTTTCTGCATTCTGTATTTCATCTCTTGTTTTGTTTTGTTTTGAATCATTGGTGATGGTTATATTCCAGGATGTCATAGATACTGCTAACAGTTCCTCAGCTGACTGTTTTGTGACCCTTCTGCTGCCCTCAATCCTTGATCAGCTGCAGTTCACAGAGCAAACTCTAGATGAGGCCTTCATAAGAAATAAATGTGAAAGGATGGTCAAAGCTATTGAAGTTTTGTTAAATATCCTTTACTGTTATAAACATGGAAACTAAATAACCACTCTTTTTTCAGCATTGTATTTCCTGCATTTTTGTCTTTAGCTATAATTTTATAATTTCTCGGGTTCGTATCTCTTCAGAATGATTGGAGTAAAGTTTAAACTATAGAACTAATTTTCAAAGTGTTTCTATAAAAGTTATTCAGACTTTTTTTTTACCTTATTTCTGTGTAAACCTTTTAAGCTAAAGGATATTTTTAGAAGTCCTTTTTAAAGTTGATTTAGATATTTTTATCACAATTTGAGATTTGAACTATATTCTAAAATAACTGCCCTGTTACCTTCTTCTGATGCCGATCACTGCCCCTGGATGATTGTGGTGCTATCTTTGCTGAAGTGCATCAAAATAAGTGAATGTTAGTGAGGGGGCCATTATTTTAGCTCAGTGATTTTTAGCTGTGTTTTCTTTAAAGCATAAATGTTTTTAATAAAGGTACCATCACACTTGGTAATAAAAAGATAAATATTATCAAGACAAATGAATTTATTTTTTTCAAAAAAGTCCCTTGAGTGCAATTAGTGTAACTGCCTAATTTCTGTATACCGATCTTCTTAGGTCTTTCCTTGTTGGCTTTTTTTTTTTTAGTTCAGCTGATTCTAAGCCTCTGAAAAGTCCAGATCTCAATTTTTTAATATTTTATTAAAACTTATTATTATTATCAGCAAGGAGCCACCCAATCTGAGCCAGATCACTTACATTTGCCTAATCAGGTTTTTTTGTATCTCAGATCAAGAAGAATTTCTTCAAATTTGTCTTGTCTTAGAGCAAACTCCACATTTCTTTGACCTCCTCTTATAAGCTGCTGCTTCTTCATTTTTCTTCTTCCTTTATAGCAGTGATTCTCAACCTCAGCTATTTATTAGAATCACCAGAAGAACATTTAAAAAAATACTGACCCGAGAACCTTTCTTTCAGAGATGCTAATTTAGTTGGAGTAACGTGAAACCCTAGAGAAGGGAAGTGTTTATGAGAATTTGGTGATTCTGGCATACAGCCAAAATTGCGAACTGCTGCTTGTAGAGGCATGATTATTTTGCTTGACCTTAGTAATATCTATAATATATTCAGGCCTTCTCTCATAAGTTAGCACAAAACTTGACCCTTTTCAAATAATGCTCAAAATAATTTTAACAATATATCAACTATGAAAAAATAACTTCCTTTAGTTCAACACATATTTACTGAACTATTGTGATACCTACTATCAGAAAACTCACGTCTAGTAGAGAAACAGACACGTTGTTTTACCTTTCAGTCAGAAACTTTTGGTGTCACTCATCTCTTGCCACGAACCAGCTACCTAAATGCTGTGAGCTCTAATTTCCTAGTCTGTCATTGAGTAAATGTAGCAATAATTATACTGAATTGCAGTGAGGAGATAATTTGTATGCAATCATTCTAAATGCTAGAAAGTGCCATACGAATATGTTTCTTTGAGAATGTGTCCCTTAACAAAACTTACCTCTCTGTGGAGATGATACTCTAAAAATGCACATTGCAAAAATTCTGACTACTATCAAATGTACTACGCTGATAGAACAACAGTTTACATATGGCAAGATTGATCTGGGGTTCGGAACAAAGGTAGCCGATTCTGAATTGAGGTAAGTGTATGAACTCCAAATTGCAAAATGATAGTGATTCTAATTGCTTTTGGAGGCTCATCCTTGGAGTACATTCTATTGACTCAAAGTGTAGTAGAGAATTAAAAACATTTTTGTAATGAATTTTTAGAAAATTTATTCAATTCATAGGTCACATGCTTCTGAAGAAAGATATTAACATCTGTGATTTGTTTCTCATCGTTTAGGTTTGTTTTGTCATGTTTTAATATATTGTGATTACCTAAGCGTCTTTTATACTCCTGAACATTTTTTTCCTGGAGGTCCTTTCTGACATTGCCTTAGTAATTTCTTTTATATTCATTTAATTTTATATGTTTAAATGAAAAAAACAGATAGTTTTTATTATAAGGAAATCAGTCACTGCTGAAGATTTCATAACAATAAAGATGATTTTTCTACCTTAGCATGATAAGATGTATGGTTAAAAGTAGCGTAGTAATATTATTTTATCCCTCTCCTCTCACGTGAATTAAGTCCATCTGACAATTATTTATTTGAGGACCTGCTAAATGCTAGACACTATGATTTAATTTTCATATCATAATTGTTGGAATTGCCTTCTCCAGTAACAAGGATTATCTGTTGACTTTTTGTACACTGTTTTAGGTACATGGCTGAGAATACAGCTTAGTATAGTTATTCAGTAAATATTAGGTATTTTTTATTGCCTCATGTTGCCTTCTCTTATTGATATTCCAGTGCCAAAGCTAAGAATTAAATGGGTTGTGTTACCAAAGCTGCTGGCAATTTGAAGCAGAAAGTTAAAACTTTGTGGCATTTGGGAGTAGAAAAAGAAGTGCCCTTTCAACTGTTAACGCTAGTTTGTTCTCTTTGGGTCTTGGGTTGATAGGATGTTGGTGTCTATGATATTTTTATTTCTCAAAACAAACAACACTTTATTTCCTTGAGGTTTAAAAACAAAGATGTTGTTTTTTTCTGTTTTCTTTAGAATTGTGGACAAAGATAAACTTTAAGCAGGTTTTGAGTTAACTAATTTAAATATGATGTTTTTTAAAGCAAACTTGCTGCTGATGTAATTTTGAAAACTCTTGATTTGATGAACAAACTTAAACATTTGGTTCCTGGTATGGAAGTAAGCTTCTACAAAATCCTTCAGGTCAGTATAAAGTTTTCATATAATTGAAGTTTATTCCCAATGTATGTTTTTGTTTTAAAATTCTTAATTTTTGGATGATTTTCTTAGAACTGGCATTCAGTAGAAAGTTTAGAGTTGTTAATTGTCTTACGTAGCTATAATATTATCGCTACACAGTTATTTTATACAGTTTCATAGAAATTGAACAGAAGTGCATCTGGTTCTAATACACAGAATGTTCCTGAGAGCAGTGTTTCCTCAGCCTTTTTCTTTTTTGTGTCCTGCTTCAGTTTCCTTCACTTACTGGCATTGTGGTGATGAGGGAAGTCGTCTGTGTTTTGGGGTTTTTGTTTCTAGTTGGAGTTGATGAGTTAGGGTATTAAATGGACAGGGAGACATTTAGAAGGAAAGGACTCGATTGTCAATAAGATTAGAGAGGCTATGCAGAAAATAGCTAACTCACAAAGTTTAATGATAGTAGCTGAAAAAGAGCTCTAGATGCTTACCTTGATATCCATAAAACCTGTTTTATAATAGATATTTAATGTGTGTTAATAAAAGTACTACAATAACAAAGATGGTTCTCATGAACCAGACAGGGTAGAAGCCAAAACCACTAAGGCTGGGGCCACTTGTACACTTTGATAGCCTAAGGCTTAAGAGGCAGTTCAGATACAGAATCCACCTCTTATTAGTCACTGCAGACTTGAGCAAGTTCTTTCACCTCCCTGAGCTCCAGGTTTTTGAGTCAGACTGATTTTTTGTCAATTCTTAGATGTTTTTTGGAATGGGTGATTTGGGGCTTACAGTACTAATGCAAAATTTTTATTGACATCAAGGAGTTACATGGTAAGTACAGTTATTTAAATGCATCAGTTAGTTGTGGATGATATTTTAAATTCATCAAAATTTTGAGGTGTGATTTTCATAGGCACAACTAAGTGCATTCTAAACCATTGCCAGATTTTTAAAGTTAGTGTTAATATTGATTGCTAAGACCATTTTAACAAAGTAAAGACTAACAAATACACTCAAACATCAAATAAAAACATTTTAGAATTATTTTATGGCTTAGCTCTGTTTACCTTATACCCTGATATTATTTATTATTTATGCCTCTTTTTTTCTGGTTTCTGATTTACTTAGGATCCACGCCTGATAACACCATTGGCATTTGCTTTGACATCAGATAATAGAGAACAAGTACAGTCTGGACTGGGAATATTATTGGAAGCTGCTCCACTGCCAGATTTTCCTGCTTTAGTGTGAGTTGTGATCACTTGTAGTATATCTCATAGTGCTGGAATATCCTGCTATGTTTCTTTACTAGGGCTCAATGTAGACAGATCAGAAGATTAGTGAATTCAATACTTCATTGCAATACTTCATTGTAATTTTTCATATAATTAAGAAAACTTGATTCTAACTGAAAAGACCAGGTATATAGTCAGGGAAAAGCTAGATCCACGTGGTTGAATGTGTTATCCAGGTGCTGTGTCTCTGTCTCTCAACACCTCTTCTTCATGCAGTAGATTCTGGATTAAGTTTACATCCTGCCAGTTTGGTTACTCCCGAGAAAGAGCTTTTCCTTCCCAACCATTTAAATCAGTCCAAGCATCACTATCATCTATCATCACTATCATTGACCAGATATGGGTCATTTGCTAGGGAGGGCACCTTGGCAAATGCTAAGGGTTTCATCTATGAGAACTACATGGACTAAAATTTGGAAGTTGGGGGCTCAGGGGAGGAAAGAAAGGGGTAGGAGAATTCCCTGAGAAAAATTCTGTACCTTTATCAGGAAGTGGAATAGATAATTGCCTGGCAAAATTATCTGCAGCACTCATTAATTTCAAATATTAAAAGAATATTTGCAGTTATTTTTGGAAAAAAATTAGATTTTCAGAGCTATCCGAAAACAAAATGATTGATAAAATGTTTAGTAGGGTTATATATAGTTTTAAAAAGTTTAAGTGATTTATGTGAATGCATTTGCAAAAGTAGTTTGAATAAACCGAAGCAGTGGTAAGTAGGTAAGATATTTCCACATGCCAGTGGTCAGTAAATTGTAGCCAGCAGAGAAGCCTGTTTTTGTAAATAAAGTTTTATTGGCATAGGGCCACATCCATTCATTTTCATACTGTCTGTATTGACTTTGATCTGACATCAGGGTTGGGAAGATGTAACAAAGACTCTGTATACTCTCAAACCTAAAATACTTATTATTGTCTTGTCCTTTAAAGAAAAATTTGTTAAGCTCTGCTATTTCTATTAACTGACCTAGCAAACTCATTTCTAGAATTAATTTAAATAGTCATAAATTAAGGGAAGTACTATGGAAAACAAGACCTAGAGATCACATAATCAGAATTTTTTTATTTTATAATATTTTTAAAGAAATAAATGGACAAATGGGGAGCTTCTCAAGTCACAGATAAAAATGGTCTATAAAGCTGCCTCACTTTGTGGCGGCCTGCTTGCCTCAGCTGTGGTAATCTGACATGAAGCCACACCCCCACACTTCCAGCAGACAGCTTCAGTGTCACTGAGAGTGGACGTCTCCTCTTCTGTCTGTGTGACACCTTCCCATCATTTCACTATGTCTTAGTCGTCCCTGTCTTGTATGATTTTCTCTTTGGAAACTCAGTTATCTACTTATATCTATTTATGCCTTTGTTTACATTACCTTAGACAGTTTAATAAGGTGAAATTAAATGATGGATGGATATGTGGGTGGGTGTGTAGGTAGGTTTGTTTCGTGTGTGTTAGTTTTATTCAAATATTTAACAAACATCCTGTGAGGGTCAGCTATGTGCCAGGTTCTCTTCTAGGCATTTTGGACATTGTAGTGAACTAGAAAGGGGGCCTTCTGTCATGAGGTTTACATTCTATTTGGGAGACAAGTTAACTAAGGTTATAACATGCACATCATTATGAGTACAGGGACCCCTCTGAATTTGAATTAAGACCTGATGATAAGGAGCCAGCACTATGCAGGTCTGGTGGGAAAAGAAACAGCTTGTACAAAGGCCCTGAGACAGAAATGAGAGGGGATCAATGGAAGAGGCAGAATGGAAGTCAGGTTTGTGAGCTCATACACTGAAGGAGAAAGGAAAAGGGTGAAGGCCATAGTAGGTAAAGGCCAGGTGATGTTGCCCATGGTAAAAATATTTTTACCATTACCAATAATGCACTTAATTTTTACAAATAAATTTGCACTCACAAACTAGTTCTGTTGCCTCCAAACAAGAGGTGGAGTAGTTATTATAAAGGTTTGTAAATAGAAAAGAGTTTCCTCCAACAAATTATTTTCAAAATCCCACTTCATCATAGGCTCCAAGATAATTTCAAAAGTATTTGGAGACATTACTAAAAAGGATCATTCTAAAAGATTCTGTAATTCCATACTAATTCTGCCTTTTGCTTTATTTTTATGTAAATTTTTTTATTGTTTTTGATCCTCATTCAGACTTGGGGAAAGTATAGCAGCAAACAATGCCTACAGACAACAGGAAACAGAACATCTGCCCAGAAGAATGTCTTTGCAGTCATTAAATCCCAGTTTTCCGTCATCAGTAAAATGTTCAACTCCTCCACTTTTGAAAGATAGAGTTCCGGTATCAAACATTGAAGACTTAATAGAGAAGCTTCAGTCTGGAGCAGTGGTGGGTGACAAATAGCAATTTTACATGAGATTCTGCTTGCTATACAATGAATATCTGCTCCAATTATAACATTTATTTAAATAACTTTAAATGTCGATTTGATCATTGAAAACTTTTAATGTAAAAGTGAAAGTATTCTAGAAAGTTTGGAAATAAGGGATAAAATTCTTATTTTTTAACACCACTGTTGTTCTTTCCCTACTGTTCCCTAGCCAGCCCACCCTCCCCCACATCCTCAGATTAAGAAATATACAGGGTCTGGCACAAATAAGGTCCCCTTTTTATTACAAAATTTTTTATTACAAAATCCTAAGCATGTAATTCTGTAACATAACAGTATCACACTGAAGTATACCATATGACATTTTAGGTGAAATATTCAAATTAAAACTATAAATTATTATATCCATATTATTACACAGGCCTTACTTCTGCCAGACCTGGTATTTTAAAATCCCACATGTATTCCAAATTTTACCCAGATATTCTTATGCAGTAACAAAGTTAGTGAAATATTTGTGAATTGCCTGGGGTAAGATATTTTTTAATTGTTACTCATTAAGTTTTAATGACTTAGTTTTTTAGTAGGCATTTTTTTAATCTTTATTATATTTTTTCCATTATCATTTAGTCCCCTTATACCTCACATTCCCAGCAGTCACCACACTTGTCCATGTCCATGACCTTTTTGCTCAATCCCTCCACCCTCTAACCTTCTACCCCTCTGTCCCCCCACCACTAGTTGTCATCTGCTCTCTATCTATGAGTCTGTCTGTTTTGCTTGTTAGTTCAGTTTGTTCATTACATTCCACATATAAGTGAAATCATACAGTATTGTCTTTCTCTGACTGGCTTATTTCATTAGCATGGTAATCTCCAGGTCCATCTGTGCTGTTGCAGAGGGTAAAATTTTCTTATTTTTTATGGTGGAGTAGAATTCCATTGTGTAAATGTCCCATAGCTGTTTTATCCACTCATCTTTTGGACATTTATTTTTTTTGTGATGTTAAAATTTTCTGATTTTTGACTTAATTATATTAAAACAGGTAAAGGATCAGATTAATGATGTGAGAATATCTGACATCATGGATGTATATGAGATGAAACTGTCTACATTAGCTGTAAGTACAAGCTTATTTTAACTTGTGTAACAATTCAGCTGTAATGGATGTTTTCCAGTAAGTGATGAAAGTTAACGCAATGGTTTTTTGTTTTTTTATAGTGCAAAGAAAGCAGGCTACAAGATCTCTTGGAAGCAAAAGCTCTAGCCCTTGCACAGGCTGATAGGTTGATTGCTCAGTATCGCTGTCAAAGAACTCAAGCTGAGGCAGAGGTGTGTACAATATAAAGATACATCCAATTAGTAGAAAACTAAATGAAGTAAAATATGTACAAAATATTTGTTGTATCTTTATTGCTCTGGTTGAAGTAAATTGTCCTCAGCATTTCACACAACTACTCCCTCCTTTAAACCCTCTTCCCGTTAACTTTAGTTACATCATTGTCTTCTGATTTTCTTTCTATCGTAATGAACGTTATTTTTTCCCAAATTTAGTTGACATACAATGTTATATTAGTTTTAGGTGTATAACATAGTGATTAGATGTTTATATACTGTACAAAGTGATGACCCTGATAAATCTAGTACCCATCTGACACCATACATAGCTATTCTAATATTTACTATATTACCCATGCTATACTTTATTTCCCTTTGACTATTTTTATTTGTATTTAATCTCTTTCACCTTTTTCATTCATCTTTTCAACCGCTTTTCCACCTGGCAACCATCAATTTGTTCTCTCTCTATGAGTTTGCTTCTGTTTTATTTGTTCATTTTGGTTTTTTTTAATATCCTTTTTGAGCTTCTTTATTTTCCATTCAACTGTAAATGTTGGGTTTTCCAAGTATTATGTGTTAAGCCCTTCCCACCTTTTTTAATTCAGCTATACATACTATTGTATAGTTGGCGTACAATAGTATGTTAGTTTAAGCTATACAATGTAGTGATTCCATATTTTTGTACTTTATGATGTGATCACCATACTAAGTCTAGTAACCATCTGTCACCATGCAAAGTAATGCAAATCAAAACCACAATGAGATACCACCTCAAAAAGTCAATAAATAACAGGTGTCATCAAGGATGTGGAGAAAAGGAAACCTTCATGTACTGTTAGTGGGAGTGTAAATTGGTGTAGCCATTATCAAAAACAGTATGGAAATTCCTCAGAAACCTGAGAGTAGGACAACCGCGTGACCCAGCAGTTCTACTTCTCAGTATTTACCCTTCTCCTTTTTTCAGGTGGTTCATATTTTCAGTCATTACCAGATTGTTAATGTCTCCAAATTTATATGCAGATCCCTTTTCCTACGTACCAAATGCCTCCTTGTGTAGCTCAATTTAAATATATAGCAAATACTGCAAAGTCATCATAACCAACACTGAAGTCATCACCCTCCCTCACAAAAATGTAGTCTTTCCTGTATTCATTCCTTCTAGTGTTCTTAAAGTTCGTCAAACAAGAAACGTGGAAATCACACAGTTGACCCTCTGCAATTAGTCATTACCAAGTCCAGTTGATTTTACCTGAATATTACTTTTTTCTGGTTTTTTTTTGTGTGTGTGTGTGTGGTTTTTTGCCTGTTTTGTCACTGTTTGCTGCAGGTCAAAACCTTCTCATTTCTCAAATAAATCATAGCAAAGTCTCTAGGCTTCCTACCTTCAGTCTAGTCTCTTCTCAACCTTCTGTTGCGTACAGAGTCATCTTATTTTTGTATTTGGTTCTACCACCCCTTCTTCCACAGTGATCCCAGAAGCAGTAATCTGATACTGTCACTCTTGTGCTGAACATCCTTTAGTGTCTTACCTTCAGCTCAGAAATAATTTAAGTTCCTTATTTTGGCATCCTAGGATTCTAACTACTTCTCATTCCTTATCTTTGCATTTTTGTGCATTCTGGGCAGTCGGCCATATTAGATTGCTTTGCTATTTCTAAGCTTGACAGTATTAGGTTTCCCCGACCTTGCACTTGCTCTTCCATGTTTAGAACACCTTTTCCTCTCTATCTCTTGAAATAATCCTTTAGATTTTAGTTAATCTCCATTCTCCAGGAAGCATCTCTGGCCTTCTCCTTCCATCACATGCTTAGTCATCCTTCCTCTATATATCTGCCCTGTGCTTCTCTGTAACACTTCTCACACCATGTGAAAATGATGACTTCACCTCCACCTTTGATAAGTAATAAGTATATATTACTAATAAATCTTTCAGTAACCCAGTAGATGCTAGCCTATTAGATGGTTCATAAGTCCTTAAATTGTAAAAATTGAGCATATTAAATAATGATAGTGGAAAAGTCTCTATTGCATTTTCTTTTAGGCACGGACACTTGCTGGTATGTTGAGAGATGTTGAGAGAAAAAATGAAGAACTTAGTGTATTGCTAAAGTCACAACAGGCTGAATCTGAAAGAGCCCAGAGTGATATTGAGCATCTCTTTCAACATAATAGGAAGTTGCAGTCTGTGGCTGAAGAACATGAAATACTGACAAAATCCTACATGGAACTTCTTCAGAGGTAAATTAATAAATGTTTCTATTTAAGATTAGAATCTATAATGAATGCATAGCACTTATTTTCTGTGGTCCTAAAATCTTTTTGTAAGCATTTATATATACTGATAATATCATAAAGTGGTAAGTAATAAAGAAATTTAGTTAAAGTGAAATGGAGTATTGCTTACTCAAACTCAGTATTGTTGGAAACAGGATACAGGTCTCTTTCCAGTCAATTCTAGTTCTTTTAATTTGTTATCAGTCATCTGGGATGTTAGCACCAAAAGGACCAATTTGTCTGTTTTGTTCCCTGACAAATCCCTAAGCCCTAGAACAGTGCCTGGTACATAGTAATCTCTCCATAAGCGATAATTGAATGACCCTAAGTTGTCAACCGTTTATATTAGGTTTAACCATATGAATTGGTCATTTCTACCAATTGAAAATGGTTGAATATTAACACTTTCATGTCATTCAGCCTAATAGGATGGAAACTTGGGTGTTAGTGTTTAATTGATCTCTAAATTTTTAGTCAGTATTTATCATTAATTCCACTGAATACAGTTTACTTATATGTGACTAGGTCTGTACAATAAATTCTTAAAGGCAGATTGCTGTAAAGGCTGTGTGCTTTTTTTTGAATTTTTGGTAGATTTTCAAGTTTTCCACCAAGAAGGCTATACAATTTTATATACTCACTAGCAAAGTATAAAATTGACTTTTTTCCTTTCTTGTAAAGCAAACTTTGTATCTTTTAGGCTAGTCTTAAAACTTCTGAATTATAAGGAATACCAGGAACAATCATGTATTTTCTACCAAACAATGAAATAAAAACACTCTGGTTAACTTGTTCCTTATTTTAATTTATATTTTAAGATTGGTTAAGATTTGAAAATTTTCTACTCTTCTGTGCTGTTAATGGTTGTGGGAAATAGTTAACTTTGCAAGATCCATGTGCATATTTTCACATCAATAAAAGTATATGTATAACATCTGGAAAATATGTGATGGCAAGGTGACTTCTAAACAGTCACCTTCTAAATAGAAGAAGGTGACTTCTAAACAGGTTATTTTCTCCCAACAACTCTATGAAATCAGGTTGAGGGAGCCCTGACAAAGTGAATTATTAGTGTTAAGTCAGGTTGTAAAAGAAAGTTAGCAGGTGGTCCAAGAGAAATAGTGGTTTTTAAGACCTGCTAAGTTGTGGATAGTGATTGAAGAGCTAAGAAGTAAAACTCTGGCCTTGAGGGGCCATGTGGGTAACAAGTAGAAGAAGCTGGCTGGGGAAAACTCAACTGTAATATTAAGGAATTTAAATTTAGATTTAAAAAATTTTGTGTGGGACAAATAAAATACTTCTGGCCAAATATGGCTAGTGTACCAATCAGTTTATTTATCTTAGTGCTTAGTAAAGTGAAAAGGACATTTTATGCCTCTGTTACCCCAAAAAGAAAACGCCAAAGTGAGAAGCAGCAAGTGTTTGAGGTTACAAAAGAATAGGTATTCAGGAAGCACTGATTCAGGCAGCAACCTGAATACTGTACAGATTAGGGAATGAAGGGTCGGGGTTTTTATGATAAAGGGAAGAGAAATAATTATATAAATAAAAGAAAGGCATTTCTATAGGTGCAAATAAACTAAGTTATTGTTCAGCTGTACATGGTGGTGCTAATTCTGAAGAATGTCTTTAATTTTCAGTTTGGTAGTCAAGATGTCTGCTTTACTCTTAGGATTGCAAATAGTCTGTTGAAATACAGTGTTAATTTGGCTCAGTCCCAAATATTATTTTGCCCAGTTCAAACACTGGAAAGGTTTGAGGGTGAGACATAGTTCCTTTGGAGTGGCTGCCTAGCCCTATTTAAAAATGGCTCCGCTTACGTCAACTTTTCACACTTAAGATGGTTGGGTATTGAAGTAGTAATTCTTTCTGTATTTACCTTGCAGGTAAAATAAGTAGGACTATTAGATTCAGAGTTTTAAAGAGGCAAGAGAGATTTAGAATCCTCTACTACTTTATTCATTAATTTGACACTTTTAATTAAACATATATTATGCCCAAGAGGCTAAGAATGACAAAATTTTATAAAAGTTGTTTCAGTTTCTTGATCTAACTATAAAGGTAACTATGTATTTTATAGGAGATTATGTAATGTATATTATCTGTAAAATAAATCTCTGTATTCATAAACATGAGGGTAATGCCCCCACACATTTCCATTTGTACTCATTTTATCACCTGTCAGCCAAAACCTGTCTTCACTGTCTTTTACAATTAATCTCTATTTTTGCCCTGCTTGTTCATAACATTCCTCCTTTTACCTGCTGTGTGTACAATTTGGTTAGAAGAAAAAGTAAAGAAAACATTGAATTTCTTTTCTGTGTTATAGATTTTCTTCCATAAAAATATCCCTCATCTCCTTGTCTTTTCAGGAATGAAACTGTTGAAAAAAAGAATAAAGAGTTACAAGTCACATGTGATTCTCTAAGTAAACAAATTGAGACACTGAAAAAGTTGAATGAGTCACTCAAGCAACAAAATGAAAAGTAAAATTTATAGTTCTTTTAATTGTTTTGGAATTTAAAAAAAAATATTTTATTTATTTATTTTTTAGAGAGAAGGGAAGGGAGGGAGGAAGAGAGGGAGAAAAACTCTGGCAATGTGTGGTTGCCTCTTGGGGCCCCCTACTGGGGACCTGGCCCGCAACCCAGGCATGTGTCCTGACTAGGAATCAAACCAGCAACCCTTTGGTTTACAGGCTGGCACTCAATCCACTGAGCCACACTAGCTAGGGCTATTTTGAAATTGGCAAAAATAATGATTCCCTTTATACAGAATATTGTGTTCTATGGATAAATTAGTAGTTTTTAACTGGTATATAGAACATATTTGGCAGAATTTAAGGGTAATTACTATTCTTAGAAATTTTCTCTTAAAATACTTGAGGAATGTTATGGTTCATTGATGTTTTCTTCTGTTTTTTAAAATAACTTCAGAACTGTTGCCCAGTTAATAGAGAGAGAAGAACAGAGGAAAGAAGTACAGAACCAACTAGTAGACAGAGAATGTAAACTGGCAAGTAAGTAGCTCTTTATTTGACAAATTTTTGATACGTTAACATGTATTCTGTTAGAAGAAAATCAAGACACAAGTAGTTTTTACTTTGCTCTTTCATTAGTTTCCACAATTCTCTCATTTTCTGAAATCTTAAATTACATCCTACACAGCTCTCCTTTTCTTGCCATAACATTTCACAAAGCAATTTAATTAAATTGATTTTAAAAATTGGGAGTTATGGGAAATTATTGCCCTTTGTAAAATAAAACATTTTAAAGGAACATAACAGCAGGTGGCAGTGCTAGGTAACTTTTAGTTATTAGCTTCTTAATGCTAGCTCTGAAGTGATCTACTAAAAACATTTTTGTTCTAACTCACTTGCCTTAGAGCACAGACATCATCTACCTATATAATTTTTCATAGTTTTCTCTCCCTTTTTCTTTTAACCCTTAAGCTGAGGATTATCCTTCCCCTCATTACTATATATTATCTTTAGAACTCAGGGAGAGGGAAAGACATGGAGATTGACATTTTTCTAGTACAGTGGAAGAGTTACATGGTGCTTTTTAATTCATCAAATACTGTAAAACTTACTTCCAGCAAGACATATCTTCGTCTCCCTACTTGTTTTTCTTTTGCTCTTATGACAGAACAGCTACTAAAAATTTTCAGGGAAAGTTAGTATAAGACCTCTGAACACATAGCTGATGGTTTGTTTGTTTTAAGATTTGCAGCAAAAAACAAAAGCACAAGAAGAAAAGATTAAAGTCTTACAAAAAGAAAGAGAAGATAAAGAAGAAGCAATTGATATTCTTAGAAAAGAATTAACTAGAACAGAACATATAAGAAAAGAATTGAGCATTAAGGTAAGAATCTGTTGAGTTCATAGTTGCAGTAAAATGAAGAAGTCTTATTTGTATAAAAGGTGAATTTGGATAAATTATTCTGTTTCTTTAGTATAATTTTGTTGTGAAGATATTGGGATCTCAAAATGGTTTAGCAGTTGTTATGAGTACTCCTCACAATGAGAAAACCTATATTTCCAACCATAATCAAACATTTATTAAATATATACTGTTAGCTAGCACTTAGTGCTGTTAAGTGGGCAGGGAATGCAGAGAAGTGTTTCCATTCTTTATGTCACATAAAGTCATCCCGGGGACATCTCTCCTGAGTGTTTACCCACCACTTGTGGACACTGGACCAGCCCATTCTGTGACTTTCCCTCTTCTACCAGTCGGGATGGATGTGGTTTCTTTAATTCCGTAGTTGTCAGACTTCCATTCAGCTCAATTTCTCATAGTTCCGAGTGATGGACATTCTATATTTTAGTTGTAATTTTGATGCGGTTGTGCAAGGAGGTGAGCCATGCTTACCTAGGCCTCCATCTTGACTGACAATAATTATTTTCACCCTAGAAACTTAGTCTTGGGTTAAGTAATTGGCTCAAGGGCACTCTCATTGTTATGTGGAATAGTAGATTTAGTCGAAATCTGAGACCACTGCTCTTTCTACATGTCATGGTTGCTTGGTGTGGTAGCTATCAATAGTGCATTCTGGTCCATCTACTACCGGAAAGATGAGAACAGACCAGGATTAAAAGACAGTTTGAGCTACAGAGCATAAGTGACAGAAGAGGCATAATGTTCCATGACACATTTACAGATTTCCTGGATCTGCCTTAATGTGGTTATTTTAAGAGTAATTCTAAATAATAGTTAGAATCTAAAATTTAATTTACAACTATCACAATGTCAATAGTTACCATTAACTTATAAAGACAAATGGAATGTGTCTTCTTAATTAATATTGTATTATTTAATGATTACTTACCTTAAACTAACCGTATAATTTTGTTAACTAAATTATACATATTTGTAATGTGTTGTTTGAAAGGGTTGTTTTACAAATGAAAAATAAAGATATCTTAAAATATCTGTGAAAAATGAAGATATTTTAAAATATCTTAAAAAAAATGCAGAGTTGTTTATTTTCCTCTTCTCCCTCTCTTAGGCTTCCTCCCTAGAAGTTCAAAAGTCCCAATTAGAAGGTCGTTTGGAAGAGAAAGAGTCACAAGTGAAACTTCAGCAAGAAGAGTTGAACAAACACTCTCATATGATAGCAATGATCCACAGTTTAAGTGGTGGAAAAATAAATCCAGAAACTGTGAATCTCAGTCTATAGACATTCTCTATCTATTGGTGGAGGTAGGATGGGAAGGTAATTTCTAACTTCAAACAAATAACAAATAATTATTAATTTAGTAAAGCACCTGATCTGATAATGTGGTTTTATTTGGTCTTAAAGTTTTACTTCCTATTTTGGTCTTTTATTGCTTAAAGTTTTCTTTGGTTCTCACATTAGGATGTTATTCTCAACCTCCATTATTTTTTTATAAGGTTTTTTTCCTTTTCCTTAGTTGCTTCCCACTTTATTCTGTTTAATTAGTCTCATTTGTGATTATTTAGATTATAAAATCCAGTTGTTTGATGTAACAATTGTAAAGGTTAATAAATTGAAAATAGAGAGAAATTAGTAAAAAGAAAAGTCATGAGACAGCCACACAAGTTTTTCTCTAAAGTAGCACTAAAGAAAATATTGGTGAATTTAAAATAATTTTATTACTGCACTTAAAGTACAATAAGATAAATGGTATAAGTTCTAAATTGGAAAAAACAGTGCAATGAATATAAAAGAGATAATGTATAAAAATTAGAAAATAGCCTGTGTTAAATGACTACGCTGTTTGTCACATATAAAACTAATACCTTGTAGAATTACTTATGAGATAGGTTTAGTTTTATTCTTTAAAGTGTTGTACGTTGGCCCATCCATATAATTTCAATTCCTCCTGAATTTCTTACGATTTACATCGGATACCTTAGATTATCCTTAATACCTATTCAGAAATTTATTTGTTGTTAATTCTAATGTGAATTTTATTTAATGTATTGCCTTTCATTTAAATAGTTTTTAAAAGTGGCCTTTTAATTTTAAAGCATAGGTTACATATTCTTCATGTTTCTCTTTAATATAAGGGAAGTTTTCAATAATCTTCATTTGAATCAAATGTTTAAGAAGAGTTTTTATGTCAATATTTTGGTTGATTTTATTGCTGTATTTGTACAACTATTAAGTATACTTGGTGTTTTTTTCACTATTTATATCTCCATTTGTGTTAGGTGAACTTAGATTACTTTTCTGTTTTTCAGCTAGAGTATATCTGAATTTGTTTAGAAATTAAATATATTTTTGTAATTCACTAATTACATTAATATCAAACTCTAATAGTTTTATATAGCTGTATGGATTTTGTTCAGATACACAAATTTTCAAAAAGAGCATTGTGCAAAATAACATTTTAAATTGCTTCTTGTTCTATAAGGAATGAGTTCTATTTCTTTTCTTTTTTAATTATTGTTGTAACAGTTGTCTGCATTCCACCCCCCCACCCTAGCCAAACCTCCCTCCTTCCCTTGCTTCCACCCTCCTTCTTAGTTTGTCCATGTGTCCTTTATAGTTGTTCGTGAAAACCCTTCCCTCCATTATCCCCTCCCAACTCCCCTCTGGCTACTGTCAGCTTGTTCTTAATTTCAGTGTCTCTGTTTATGTTTTGCTTTGCTTGTTTGTTTTGTTGACTAGAGTCCACTTATAGGTGAGATCATATGCTATTTGTTTTTCACTGCCTGACTTTTTTCAATGCTCTCCAGTTCCATCCATGCTGTCGCAAATGGTAGGAGCTCCATCTTTCTTTCTGCTGCGTAGAATTCCACTGTGTAAATGTACCATAGTTTTTTGATCCATTCATTTACTAATGGGCACTTAGGTTGCTTCCAGCACTTGGCCATTGTAAATTGTGCTGCTATGAACATTGGAGCGCATAGGTTCTTTTGAATTGGTGTTTCAGGGTTCTTAGGATATAATCCCAGCAGTAGAATTTCCAGGTCAAAAGGCATATTCATTTATAGTTTTCTTAGAAAATCCCATACTGTTTTCCACAATAGCTGCACCAGTCTGCAAGGAATGTGTTCTATTCCTTAATGTGCAACTGTGTGCATTTTCAATTTAATATGAAAAATTTTTAAATGACTAGATATGACTAAGAACAAAAGGCTCCGTAAAATAAACCTGTCAAAAGCTTTGGGGAAAACCAAACTGTCTTTATAAATCAGACACTCAAAACACTGAGCCCAACCCTGTGCTGCCCAGCAGAACTTAGTGGAAGCGTTCTACATCCACACCATTTAGTCTTGTAGCCTTTACCCGCATGTGGCTATTAAGCACTTAAAATGTGGCTAACGTAACCGAAGAATTGATTTTGTTGAATTTTAGTTTTAATTTTTTATTGTAATTCTGTTACAGTAATCCCAAATTTCCTTTTTCCTTTTGCAGTTCTTAATCTAGCCCACCTCTCTCTTCTACAGTCAGTCCCCTCTCCCCATTGTCCATGTCCATGAGTTATTCATACATGTTCTTTGATCCCTTCCCTTTTTTTCCACCATTTTCCCCTCCCTCCTCCCCTCCTACAGCTGGCAGTCTGCTCCATGTTTCCATGTCTTTGGTTCTGTTTTTCTCATTAGTTTATTTTGTTCATTAGATTCAAGTTATATGAGGTCATATGGTATTTGTATTTTGCCGACTGCCTTATTTCACTTAGCATAATAGTCTCCAGTTTCATCAACACTGGCACAAAAGGTAGGGCTTTGTTCTTTCCGATGTGTAGTATTCCATTGTGTAAATGTACCACAGTTTTTTAATCCACTCATCTACTGATGGACACTTGGGCTATTTCCAGCACTTGACTATAGTAGTAGTAAGGCTGTTTTGAATTGAGTTTCAGGATTCTTAGCGTATAGTCCCAGCAGTGGGATCACTGAATCAAAAGGCAGCTCCGTTTTTAGTTTTTTGAGGAAATTCCCTACTGTTTTCCACGGTGGCTGCAGCAGTCTGCATTCCCACCAAGAGTGCACTAGGGTTCCTTTTCTCCACAACCTTGCCAGCACTTGTTGTTTGTTGATTTTTATCGATAGCCATTCTGACAGGTGTGAGGTAATTTTAATTTTAATTGCCATCCTATTAGTGCAGAACTAGTCCATTCTTGCAAATATGCATTTATATAAACCATTCAATTGGCCTATTCCTCAAGACTTACATAGACAGAGGCTCCATATATTTTTAGCAGCCTTTTGTTAATATAGGTTTAACCCGTTATTCCTTATCTTTTCTGTCTAAAAAGGAAAAGTGTGCCCCAGTTTTAAAGGTGAGCACTTACCATCATCCTTCACTATTCCTGTATTTTCTAGTTTTTCTGCCTCCAGTAGCATCTTCTATATTCTTTCTATCATTTTTCTTAACCTAAGTATGTTTGGTACTTGGGGTTTGGTTTGGGGGAGGTCTTTTATTTTTCTTTGTTTGCCTTTTGGTTCTATTTCTCTCCTGCATGTCATGGATTTGAAAACAAAACAAACACACCCAAAGTGTATATGCATTTTTTCTTTAAAAAAAAATTTAAGCATGTTTGAGCCATCATCGCTGAGTTTTACAAATTTAATGCCCATTTACTAATGAAGAAAATAAAACTAAGTAAATGCATCATTATGTTAGAATTTTTTTTAATCTCTAAAATTTTGCTGTGAAGAATTTGTACTCAAGTGCACATTAACACAGTTCCTTTTACTACTTACATGTGCTACTTAAATATAAAATGTAGACTTTTGTTAAAATTTGACTGATTTAAGTTTATACTAAACTGTCCTTTTCATGTCAGGGTAAAAAAAATCATTAAAACTTAATACTGTGTTTTGGGGGAAAGTTGTCAGGTTAGTGCCCTTTTAGTTTTGCTTTTATATTGTAAAAACTAGTTATTTATATTAAGGATATAACAAGATTCTGTTTTTAGTTAGGACTGTTAATTAAATGAAAATATGTTTGAATTTCAACTTTTGCCTGAGGCTTATTTACTTATGTTATAGGTACTGTACTTCTAATCAAGGTATTTTCCCTAAAACTCATAACCTTATATTGATTCTTTTTCTTTTTAAATAAGATACGCATTGTATTTACAACTTTGCTTTTGACTTACCAGTTGTTGGCCCAAACATGTGTCCTGTTTGTAACTTAATTTCTTTGTAGGAGCTGTGAGCATGTTCTGTAAAGGGCCAGGTAGTGACTGTTGTACGTTTTGTGAGACACACAGTTTCTCGCACACAGCTACCCAGCACTGCCTTAGCAGCCTGAAAGCAGTCAGACTGCACCTGCGGAAATGGGCGCGCTGCCTCGAGTCGTAGCCTTCCAAAACAGCTATTTACAAAAACAGTGGAGCTTCGCTTTTGGATATTATAGCTTACCAATGAATTGACTCTTTTATCATTAAGAAGTGTGTGTCCTTATTTTTTTTACTTTTGTCTTGAGTTCTGTTTTATGTTAATGTAGCCACTGTAGCCTTTTTAAGGTTTGCTGTTGGCCTGGTGTATCTTTTTCTGTCAATTTACTTTTAACCTGTGTCATATAAATTTCATGAACTTGTAGACAACATATAGTTGGGTCTTGCATTTTTAAAATTTATTTTGACAAAATAGTCCTTAACTTTCACAGTCCACTTGGAGTTAATATTGTACTATTTAATATAAAATGTAGAAACCTTGTAATTACTCTCTTTTTATCCATTTATCCTCCTTTTATCCTTTTATCCATTTATCCGTTTATCCTTCTTCTTTAATCTATAATTGACACATACAGCTATATACATTACTAACTTCCAAAACAACGTTATAATTTTTTATTTAAACAAGTATATGGAAATACCTTTGTTTGCAATATCATAGTGTAGTTATCTACTTGCATGCAATACTAAATACAAAAGTAGTATCTTCACTATAACATTACTATTTTTCCCTTTTGAAATAACAACTTGTGGGGAGACATTGCAAGTAACCTCTTTATTTCATCTTTTACCCATTGGTTTTAGCATCCATTGATAATTCTTGCTTGAATCAGTAATTATTCTGATAGTTGCCAAATGTTTAATTTTTTTTACTTTAATGGGAGAAAATTGAACATTTTACCGTGAATAGCAATCTAAATTGCCTCTTTTATTAATGACATCATTGATAATATTAAAATAAATATTCACTGTTATATGAGGTCTGTCTGGGAAAAGTTCAGCCATTGCTAATATAATGAGAATGGTTTGCACAACATCAATATAACCTGGCAGCCAAGGAGAGTTGGCCAGAATGCACGTGAGTGAACAGTGATGACTTCACTGTACTAGTCATAGGGTTGGTAGATGCCAGTGAGTGAGCATGTGTATTCAAAATGATGACTCAAGCAATGAATCTGCATTAAATTTTGCATCAAGCTCCACAGAAACTATTCAGATGAATCAGAAGGCTACAGCTGTGGGCAACTAGTGATTGGCAGGTTCCTCACAATGGTATGCCCACTCATGCTTCACGTGTGGTGCAGAGTTTTTGGGTGGAGCATCAGGTGACTTAGCCCCCCTTCAGCCCAAGTTTTGTGCCCTGTAACTGCTGGCTTTTCCCAAAGCTAAAGTCACCCTTAAAGGGAAGAGATTTCAGACCGTCAATGAGATGGGGCAGTTGATGGCAATTGAGAGGACTGTGTGAGGTCCCAAGGTGCCTACTTTGAAGGACTCCAGGCATCATTGTCCCATGTACAGTGTTT